AAAGAAAAAGAAACTAGAGAGGAAGTGATACTAGGACTAAGCAATTCAGGACAGGAAGATCATGAGATGCATAAAGATAGTGAAGGGTGATTTGGGGTGGGGTGAGGGTATTATGTAAGGAGGGACCTCTTCAAAGGTAGACCTGGAGGTCTTCAAGCCAACACAGGGGAACTGTCCCCTTACTCCCCATCCATGTGCCCTGCCTGGGCACAGTAGCTGCCCACATGCCATGCCTAAAAAAGAAGAGTCTAAGGGATCAGAATTCAAGCTGGCCACCCTGTACTGTGCATGGGATTCATACTTTTGCAAAACCACTCCCATCGTGGCTGTAGGCTGAGGACCGCAGCTACAGAAGTCAGAGTTCTAAGGTGACACCCCTCTACTGAGTTATGCATTCCCTTGTATTGTCCTCTCCCCTTCAGCATGGGAGGCACTGACCATAAATGTGACAGGTGGCACTGCCTGATCAAATTACATTATTTTGCGCAGAGGAAGGGGGTTTGCAAATATAATTACAGTTCCTAATGCAGAGACCTTTGAATTAATCAGGAGGGATACCCCCCGGGGTGAGCCTAACAAAAGCCGGTGAGCCCTTGAATGGGAGCTTTTGTCTTCCTGGGAGAGACATTCTTCTCCTGGTCTGAAAGAGAAAAGTCACTGTGAGTTCCAGAGCTGCAGGGAACTGAATTCTACCACAAGGTGAGCTTGGAAGAAGACACTGAATGTCTCATGAAACCCAAGCTGCAGCCAGCCCACCGACAACAGTCTTGTGAGCCCTTTCATGGACAGGTCTGGACTCAGATCAGCCATGCCTGGACTCTCGATCAGGTGAACTGGGAGATACTAAAGTTGTGTGTGTTATTTTAAGCTGCAAATTTTGTGCTGTTAACTGGTCAAGGGCTACTTAATAGCAGGGATAAATTCTGAGAACTAGACTGTCCTTTGATTTCATCATACTACATACATCATATCATCTGTTTAAACAAACGGAGGGGGGACAGACCAGTCACTCCACGTGGCCTCTTGATGAGATGAGACACAATAAATATGAGACAGATGAGTTTGCTGCTAGTCATGCGAAAACACTGATTTATTTTAAAACTTTTTAAAAAGTATACTCTAAAGTAATAAAGGTACAGTAAAACGAACCAGTCATATGGTCATTTGTTATCCTTTCTCAAACATTCTTTACTGTACACCACTGTATGTGTTGAATGTAGTAGTTCTGTTTGTGCCCAAGTCAACACAAATACATGAGTTATATATTGCACTGTACTCTTAGGAGGGTTGTGATGTCACTAAGTGACAGGAAGTTTTCAGCTCCTTTATAATCTCCAGAAACCACTGTCGTATATGTGGCCCATCCCTGAATGAAATGCCATTATGTGGCTATAATTGTAACTTGGTACACAGCCACAAATATTCAATAGCAGAGAAGAAGATGCATTGGCCGTGTTTATTGTGGCACACTTCACAGACATGGAATCTACCCATGTGCTCATCAAGGAATAAAAGCTAGTCTCAAAAGTTAGGTGCTTTCTCTCATACGTGGAATTGAGGGGAAAAAAGAGAATGTGAGAGGAGAAGGGAGGCTTATAGAAAAGGAAAGGAGAGGAGAAGACAAGGGAGAATTAAAGAGGTGCTGGATACGATCAAAAGATGTTGTGCGTATACCTGTATATATGAAAATGCCACAAGGAAACCATTATTCTATATAATTAGCATGGAATAATAAAATAATTACAAAAAAGAAAAGACCATAAGAGAAAGCACAGATACACGAGTGCCCAGAATCTTAGTGAAGGAATGGAGGTGGTCAAGGAGAGGAAAGTAAAGAAAGGAGTCTAAAACACACACTAGAAAGAATTATTTTGTGCACTCCAAATGTATAATTTTGTTTGTTTGTTTGTTTGAGACAGGGTCTCACTATGTAGTCAAGACTGACCTGGAACTCACAGTGTAGCCCAGGCTGGTTTTTGGAACACTCAGTGATCCTCCTGACTCAGCCTCCCGAGTGCTGGGATTATAGGCGTGCGCTACCACCCCCGGCTGCCAAATGTATAATTTAATTTAAATATCCCAATGCTTCTGGGCAGTAAGCATCTCAACTCCATTCTACGGATAAAGTGCTGACTATCTCAGAGGACTTCAATAACTCGTTCCAAGGCACAGGGATACTCTGATTCACAGGAAGTTCTTGCACATGCCTGGGGCTCGTGCCTCGGCTGCACTGCACTGTGAGCTCATGCTAAATCCCAGGATAGAAGGGCCCAGCATAGCATGGTGCTGGAGAAGCCCTTGCCAAGGTGTTCGAGTTGCAGGACTGCTGCTTCATCCTCATGCCGCTCCCAAAGGACAGCAGTGTGAGAGTTCTGTTCTCCTGAGGAGCCTCCTCTCTGAATTCCATTCTCCAAAAATCAGAAGATAGATAGGCTTGAGTAGAGAGGGCAGGCGATGAACTTCCATGTGTACATATTTGTACGTACGAATATCCCAAACTAGACGGGGCAGAGATCCCAGAGGGGTGATGTCATCAGCTTCCCACATTGTGATGAGAAGACTGAGGCTGGGTGTAGTTACTACCACTTTCCAAACTCACCCAAGAAAATAAACTACCCTCCCTCCACATCCCTCTCTGCCCTCCAGTCCTGCACAGAGAAAACAACTGAGTTTCCTCATCTCTGCTAGGTCACACAGCCCTTTGCACTTGGCATTAGCTGATTTCATCACAGCTTTCACTGAAAAAATAAAAATTCTCTGTCAAGGTGCCCTGTATCTCTCTCTTTTCAACCTCAAAGACCTCATAAAAGTCTGTTTGGCTGACTGTCTTCTTTCCTCTGTAATTAGTCTCAGAGTCGTTTTTCTCCGCTAGTAATTTTGCAGTGTTCCTTATCCTACTTATCGCCTTCCTCCGGAGTCCCCTCTGTTGCACACATCTGACAAAGCTTGGCAGACTATTTCTGAGTTTCTGGCCATCCCCACTCCCAGATCTCCCTCTGCTTTACTCCGTTTCATCGAAGGCTGTGAGTGTGAGACAAGGTGATGCTGGGAAGAAAGAGGAGCCTCTCGTGGCACACAGAACAGTGCCCTCTCCCCTTCAGTGTTCACATCTCCACTCTGAGCATCTTGCGTTTATGCGTACGAGGAGGGGTTCAGGCAACAGAGGGAGGTGAGATCGACAGTCAGCTGACCTGACAATAGAGTTCATCCTGACAGTAAAGGTAATGTGGAAGAGGAACGCAGAAGGTGGGCAGAGGATGTTAGAATGCAGCCGTGACCCACTGTAGCTGACTTCAGAGACCGAAGAAGGGGCCATCAGCCAAAGAACATGGATGGCCTCTGGGAAGCTGGGGAGAAAAAGGAGACAGATTCTCCCCTACAGCCTCCCGAAAGGAACACAACCCTGTCTACCAGTACCTTGGTTTTAACCCACCAAGAACATTTTCCAACTTCTGATCTCTGGAATCCCAAGACAATAATTGTGTGTGGTTTGTTGCCGTTAAATAGGTAGTGATTTGTTCCGAAAGGGTTAGCAGCATGGTATGCTTTTGTGGGAAATGTTATGCAACCGCTGGCATGTTTCCACACAGCCCAGTCAGCCTGGTCAGGACAGGATTTCCAAGAGGAACTTGGGTAGGATTGCTCCAGCTCCTCTCCAACACCTGGGGAGAAAATTACCTGTCCTATAACACCTTGAAAACAGGAATGACCTGGGCAGAGCTGAAGAATGAACTGAAAGCCTAAGCACCCTAGTCCAGCAACAGAAGATGAACCCAGACCTAGGTAGGGCCTTACAAGGTCTTCCCAAGAAGTACAGTCACATCTGGTCTTCACTTTTTGCCAAGGGATCTTTACTGGGTTCCGAGCTCTGAGATGTAGTCAAGGCTGTGTGGGAGAGAGGACATCTGCCTGCCCTTGTGCACATAATTTCAAATAAATTAAATCCAAATTATGTATTACACAGTTTGGTTTTTATTTTCAGAATAGCCAGCTCTTAAGCCTATGGCTTGAGATCAGGATTTGTGTTTGTTTGTTTGTGTATGTGTGTGTGTGTGTTTGTTTGTTTCCCAATTGATGAACTTATAATATGGGGTGCGTTCTAGATTCATAACAACTCTGCGTTGAAAACACAAACCGGAAAAACTTCTGAGCCTCTAAAAGCTAAACCCAGTCGGGCTCTGACCCCCGCCTCCGCCCCCGGGGCCCCGCCCTTGGTACACTCCCCTGGGACTTCAGCTCCGGTATCTTCCTTCATCCCGAGGTGGTAGGGAGCACTGGATGTCCAGACACACCGAGTCAGCTATGCACCCAAAAAGCAAATTCAGAAGAAGGATAAAAGACTTCTCATGCCCTCCATAGAAATGATCCAAGTCTGATAACTCAAAAGTTGCGAGGTGAACCATCTTCCCGCGTACCGAGCCCCTCGCAGGAAGGAGAGAGAGAGAGAGAGAGAGAGAGAGAGAATAGAATACGCGCTCTGCTGGGCTGGGAGCTTTCTTTCCGAGGAGTCCGGCTGACTCCCAAATCGTCGCGGGTGGCCCTCCCGAGGGCGCGCACGTCCTTTCCCCCATCCTGTGCCGCCGCCGGGCAAGAGATCCTGGTCCTCCTCTCGGGAAGAAGCCCCGGGCCGGGGAGCCCGGGCTGCGCTCCATTCACAGCCCCAGGGAGGTCCCGGCCCCTCTGCACGGCAGCATCGCGAGCCACCTGCAAGCCCCGTGGAGACGACGCCTCCTTTCTTTCCTCGGAGCTTCGGCTCCTTAGCTCGGCCCTGC